AGTGTGTTACTGAAGTGTGTGTTACTGAAGTGTGTGTTAGTGTGTGTTTTCAGAAGAGAGAGAGCACAATAGTGTTAAGGAGAAACAGAGTTACTGTGGTCAGCCATGCGTTTGACACACAAGGTTTGGAGGTGCCGGCCTGCAGGGAGCTCGCTCAATTACCTGTCTGAACACACACACACACACACACACACACACACACACACACACACACACACACACACTTCTTGTTCCTGTCTCTGCCTTGTAAGCTGTGACATTGGATGGTTGTTAACAGGTCACTGCCTTCAGAACACCTGAGGCTGTGTGTGTGTGTGTGTGTGTGTGTGTGTGTGTGTGTGTGTGTGTGTGTGTGTGTGTGTGTGTGTGTGTGTGTGTGTGTGTGTGTGTGTGTTGGGCAGGAGGTCATCGGAGGTTTGTGTTGTTCCTAATTTAGCGGATGGTGTTGAAGCATCGGTTCATGAAAAGGTCATCTTGTTACAGAAAGAGACAGAAGAAGAGGGAGAGGAAGATGTGTGATGGAGAGAGGAAGATGAAAGAAGAAAGGAACAAGATGCAGTGAAAATGTCAAGCACCCACAAATAATATACTCTCTCGTAGGAGCTACAAATACTGCATGTCACCTGGTTCTGACCCGAGTCTATTAGGGACGATAACACGTCACATACAGTGTCTCCTTTAATTGGTTAATGTCTCCTTTGAGCATGTGTCATTGCCAGAAGCTCTCATGAACAGATTTTATATCCGTTTTTAATCCACATTTTTACCAAACACCTTTTTATATCTTGGTGCTTTTTTATTCTACGCTAGCTCGTAGCAACTCAGCCCAGATTCCACCGGGAAAACACACATTTTTAACATGCTTTATTCAGTGTTTCTAGCAGTACAACTCAACAGGGCCTTTTATTTTAGAGAGGAGGCGACTTCAGTGGATATTCGGCCTCTTATAAAACTCTCCTGCAAGTCGGGATCTTACGTTAAATGAGTGTGTGTGTGTGTGTGTGTGTGTGTGTGTGTGTGTGTGTGTGTGTGTGTGTGTGTGTGTGGAATATGATATATAGATAAATAATTAGCTAGATGCAAACAGATGAATGTTTATGGATGTTCTTGAGTCTTGAGGACAGTGGGAGGACACCACAGAAGAAGAAGTAAAGTTAAAAGAGGAGAGAGAAGCTCGGCTGCATTCACACAGAACTGACAGTTTATCACAAACTCATCTGATAAGAATAAAACAAAGAGATTATAATTACTGTACCGCAGGGAAGTGAAGTGGAAACGAAGAAGATACAAAGTGCTGTTTTAATCAGAAGAATCAGGGAGAGAAGCGATAGGATACAGTTTTCTGATTCCTTTTTCTTTCACTTCTCTCCCAGATTTTGATGATTAAAACGTTCGTACTTCTTCGTTTCCACTTCACTGCGGTACGGTAATTATAATCTCTTTGCTTTATTCTTATCAGGTGAGTTTGTGATAAACTGTCAGTTTCTCTCTGCTCTTTTAACCTGTTAAGCACCAAGCCTGTTTTTCATGTTTCAGGCTCGAAAATGACATGCCCAAAACAAATGACTACAACTTAACTTCTAAAAGGGTTATATGAATAATTTATTTTCTCAAAGTAATGATAAACCTGTGAGTTGGATGTAGAAGTGTCAGAATCAATATAGATGTTTTTTATTTTAAAGAAAATTCAGATTTTACATAGTAAAAAACTGTAAATTATAGTGTCCGTCCAAATATTATTTTTTACTTATAGTGAAAACTACCCTTGGATGATGGGTTAGTAGACTAAAGCTTTAGGAATCCAAAGTACAACATATAATAAGTACCCTGTATCAAGATTGATGCAAAACAAGTGACATTTGACCTTTTTAGAGAGATTTAGCCAAAACCACCCCACCTCTGAGGTGATTTGGGTGGAAATGGTTTGTTTTCCATATCTCTGGCCCCCTTGGTCGATTTTGATGGTTGACACCTCTTTCTGACCGTTAGAGCCAATAGAATCGAAGGGGGAGGCCCCCACACACACTCGTTGTGAAGAGAAAAGGTGGGGGCTGCGCGCATGTAATTTTGCAGCAGAGTGAAACCGATCTCTCGCTCTGACATTTGGAAACGAAAAAGCAGTTTTATTGCTTATGGATTATCAGAAATAATTTCAAAGAGGACACAGACACATTGGATTAACCTATGGATTAACTGCAGCATCGTTTTTTTATCGTTTTAATGCCATTGAAGACCAGTTTTGACCACGGTAAGCCATGTTAGCGTTTCTAGCTACCTAGCTCCACATGTTATGATGTACGCTTTCGTTTATAGCGTCGCAAATGTTTATCACTGAGTGTTGAGGTGGACACCCCCAGATTCTGTGTCCCCAGTAGATGCTAATCGATGGGTTGGCTGTGCATCTAGGATAAGTAATAAGGGAGTTCTGAGTGAGTTTAGGTGCAGAGATAGGTTACATTTTTTCGCTCGTGGCTAATTCAGAGGCTGAGTGCTAGCATTG